CTACCTATGCCTCCACCATGGTGGGGAGGACGTAACACTAACTATAACCAAATTGTAACCCTGACAATAAAACCACATTTTGACTCTCAAAAATGCCTTCAAACTTGTGGGGATGGGCATTTTTTCCCCTGAGTGACTGTTTTCCCCACAAGTATCCAGTCTTTAAGTCTGACATCATTAGCCGTTTCCGGGTCCAAACTCTGCTTCTGGTCCCAAAGTGAAACACTGCGGCATCACTGAGAGTTAAAAACTGTCTAATTTCTTTCATCTTTAACAAAATGATCAGTGTGGCTGCTCTAGATTGTTAGGGACAAATACAAACGCGTGGCAGGATGCTGTAAACGGACCAAACTTCAGTTAGGAGAACAACTGAGATAATCCATCTACAATATGAGGTTAGTCATTAATATACCGCTCCATGGGCTGGGCTGAAGGTTTTAAAAACTGAGCTTTAAAACGTGCTGCCGATGAACAGCGATAACATAAACCTAGAGAGACTGACAAAATAAAACAACATAGCGCAGTGGTGGGACACGGTTCCAGCAGCAGCCTCTGATGTTAACTGGCAGCCCTTTATAGACTGCTGCTAATTGGCGCTCAAGCCATAACATTATCTGGGGTTACATACTAAGCTAAACGAATAAACTACACAAGCTTTATTTATATCAAGTCAATACTGTTGGTGCAGTGTGTAATTTTCTAGCTTTTTTTTAAATCTTATAAATATTTTCCTTATGGCAGCACAGTGTGTGTAACGGTTTATAGTGAGAATTTCTTAATGTTGCAAATAATATTCTCTATTGAGTTTTTCTATTGAAATTTCTATTACGTAGAAGAAGAAAAAAACTGTCAGAGCTGAAAAATCATCATGTTTTATTTTCTTATTTTTTCTGAACCCCGATTTTGAGTCACCAGTGAAAATGCGTGTCTTTGGATTGTGGGAAGAAGCCTGAGTCCTCAGAAGGGGAGAACATTCAAAGTCCACACAGAAGATCAGGCGATTAAACCAGGAACCTTATCCACTGCATCACCACATCACTTCTTCAAACTAACTCCCAGTGTCCACAGAACTTATTCTTTTAAATAATTATTATTCTGTTTTATAGAAATTGATGAACCTGGCCAACTATGAGTAGCATTAGCATTGTACATTTTAATCATTTAGCCTATTATTTATTTTAGGATAAAGTCATGTTATTTATCAGTATTTATGTTATCTGTGCAAAAATGCACTACATGGCTGCATTTTGCCTGTGCAGGTTGAAATAAATATAAATGCCCAGCAAAAAATTATATTGGGAGTATTCTAGACCAGCGGCCCCCAACCTTTTTTTTGTACCAAGGACCGGTTTATGTCCAACAATATTTTAACAGACTGGCCTTTAAGGTGTCGTGGATGAATACAACAAAATAAAACCAGTACCAGTTCCAAAAAAGAGATTTATTCATAAGATACGGGAAAAGACCCGGGGAAGCATAGTTAACGATAAAAACAATTTAAAAAATAACTATAAAAACCAATAAAAACCCTGAAAACCCTAAATTTCACACCCGAGCCTCAACTCTCGCGGCCCGGTACCAAACGACTCACGGACCAGTACCAGTCCATGGCCCGGGGGTTGGGGACCGCTGTTCAAGACAACCCTGACAGTATGAATCATGTGACCATTTTTAACCCCACCACCCATATTTCACCACTAGCAGAGATAACACAGCTCATGTCTGGCTAACCAACAGGAAATTACCCAATGGTGTTGTTTGTTAAATAAATAATTCATGTATTTTATTATCCTGAGTTAATCATATTAATCCTTCATTATGTGAAGGATTCTTTACATGATCTTATTCATCAGTCTTGGTGTAGACAGTGAGAGCGAAATCTGCAGTGATGTTGGGTTCATAGGTGGATGGGATGATCACATACTCTCCAGGTTCCAGACTGTGGAGTTCAATGAGATCTTGCTCAGAGCTGTAAGTCTTTTCTGCCTTCACAGGCCTGTTCCTCTGAAAGAAATCCTGTTGCAGGCGTCCTTTTGGAGTCTGGCAGAAATATAAAGGAATATCTATAGTGAAATACTCTCCTGAGTCTCATTGTACATTGTTATTAAAGTTATTAAAATGCTGAATTTACTTTTGGTGCACAGACAGTTTCATATATTTGTTATTGTTTGTACTTACCCCTGGTGGAATCTGTTAATTGGAAAATGGTAAGAATAATATCATTAAACTGTTTCGCAGGAACCAGTTTCCAGTTTCCAGTAACTTTAAATAATGAATGTGAAATCAGCGAAGACATTTTTTCATCATTATTGTCATTATTGTCTTACTAACTCAGCTGCTCAATTAGGAAAGTACTCGTATCTTCATAACAGGGTGATACAATTGTTTTAAAGATTTAGTTTCTTGTCCTTCAGTATTCGGTTGCAGTATTTAACAATTATTTAAATTAAAGGGAGCACATTGAGAATGAATACCTTATAGATGGTAAGTCTAGTTCGGTGGAGGCGTATCTCATTGCGATTTCCCTGATGAGGTTTCTGCATCAGGGAGAGCACAATGTTTTTGTCTCCTGGCTCCTTCTTGTCTATAACAGTCACTCGGATGCGATACTGAGGGTTTGTTGCAAAGGTGGCTACAGAGAGTGAGGAAACATTCATCTTGTTA